CGGCGACCCCTAGCCTCGACGGCGGCGCCGTCGCCGCTCGGCCTTGTGTCCGCAACCATGACTCCCTCGGCCCTCCCTAAATCTCCCGCCAAAAATCCAACTTGGCTCCGGCACCGCAGCCGCCGACCAGCTTGAGCAGGTGATTTTTCTATTCCTTGCTTCCCGTCTCAGTTCGTGCTCTGCATTTTTTTTTTTTTCGTTGATGATAGATGCCTGCTTTCTCCCGAGAAAATTGGCTATTTGCTATTGCAAACAATGGGCTTTTCAAAATTGCCATTCAAAAAATTGACTTCGCAAAATTGCCAGCCTAAACATGTACACCTTGTTTTTGTTGGCATAATCCCTATTTAGCTCCTTTGTTTATGTTTTTTGGGATTGTCCTCCACGCGAAAAGATATTTCTGTCCTTGGCTGCTGGGAGACGTCGGGCGGATCACCGTTCGCACCTTGGTTGTGTCAGACGTCAGAAAGATCAGCTGATATCTAAATCAAATTGTGCATGTATTTGGCCGGTTTTTGAAAAAAAAAACAATCAGGTGGACAATATCATTAGAAAACATGCAAGCATATGTCTGTCACACAAATTCATAAATTGAGAATAAAATGAGTTCACATCCGAATCCATAAGCTGAGTATAAATGAGTTCATCTCACACATACATAAATTGAGCCTAAATGAGTTCATCTCACAAATCTATAATTTAAGTCTAAACGAGTTCATCCAATATGTAGCTTTCTTTTTGGCATCAACTTCTTTGGTGCAGTTGTAGTAGGCATTCTCTCTGGAGTAGTGGCCATAGATTTTGCTGAACCGCCCTCTCCCAATAAAAAAGCAAGACGGCTACACACAGATAGTACTACACTTAGATAAATATTTTTGGACTAGATTTGTACATCAAAATGACATAGATTATTTGTGTGACTGTTTCTTACCTTATAGTCACCCTTCCAGGACTATCCCGTAGTATTTGCTCTCTAGTTGGTCTCTGTGGGGTGCTAACCTCACCTGGCTTAGCCTTCATAACATTCTTTCTAGGCTGCCTTTTTCTACAAGAAAAAGGGAATTAAATTTTATAATGACATTATAATTAAAGGATTGAATGTAAAAACAAAGGTTTGCCTTTTTTTCTTTGTCCTATTGAGTGGGTACTTGGAACTAGCTTGCATGTGACCCTTTTCACCACATCTCTAGCAAGTCATTGGGCCTCTAATCATTTTCTTTCCCTTAGCGTTGGTTGGAGCAATATCACCTGCATTAGTAGCATTGTCACATGCATTGGTAGCACTATTGGTACCCTCACCATCTTTCCTACCTCTCTTCTTGTGTCCACCTTCAAGACATCCTTTTATTCTAAGTTTTCTTTGTCTTCCACTTTCTCCAGGATTAAGAGGTGCACCAACAACAAATGGCAGCTGCACATGTGGCCATTGTGATCTACCTGTCATTGGTTCAATCTCTCTACCATAAGCAGTCTTGAATCTATCCACTGAGTAGTAGTCATGCACAAATTGTTCAAGGTCCACTCCCCGTCGTGAGGTTACAAAGGCCAATACATATTGACATGGCTTGCCAGTAAGACAAGTACAAATCCTTTCATCGATCATTTGGTGCAGCCATATGTGCACTCTCCTCATCTCTAAGCCCTAAAAGCACATATATTTGATTTTCACTCAAAAATTCAATTCTTCCTTCCTCATCATGTGACTCTACTATCTGCAAGTTGTCCCAGTCAACTTGTGGTATAGGATTATCAACCTCCATATGAAACCTAAACCAAATATCGTTTGCAGTTTACGGTTTACACAAAAAAATTGAAAAAAAAACGAAACAAAAAAGCGAAAAGGCTACATCACCGCACCTCGGAGGCAGTGCACGTTGCGCCATGTCAGGCAGCGTCGAGGGCGTAGAGTCTCCGTCGCAAAAGCGAGTAAGCCACGTCAACGCCGGTCGGCGAGGGCGCGTCCCCACCACGAGGGCGGACTAGGATCCGACGGGCGCGTGGACGACGTTAGCTGCATCTAGCTCGCCGAAGCGTCGGCCGCCGCCGCAGAAGAGCTGAGCGAGCGACCGTCGGGCCACGACGAGGGCGGGCGAGGAGTTCCAGGATCGTGCGACGGAGCGCCGAGGTCGCTCCGAGTTCCTCCATGGTCATGCCGGCGGCCACCGTAAGCGCTGGGTGACGCATGAAAGCACACGGTGGTGGTTGTGTGGCGGCGGCGAGCGCGTCCGCCGGCGGTGCCGCGTCACGGCCTCCCTGCATCGTGGGCGTCTGGGGCACGCGAGCGTTCTTCGTTTGCGGAGATCTCTTCGTTTGCGAGTGGATACGGATGTGAACTATCTTTCTGACGTCTGACACAGCCAAAGTGTGAACGGACGTCTCCCAGCAGCCAAGGACAGAAATGTTTTTTCACGTGGAGGACAATAAAAAAACAGAAACAAAGGAGCTAAATAGATATTATGACAACAAAAACAAAGTGTACATATTTATATTGACAATTTTGCGAAGTCAATTTTTTGAATGAAATTTTTGCGAAGCCCATTGTTTGCAATGGCAAATAGCCAATTTTCTCCTTTCTCCCATGCTTGATGATTGGTTGTCCATCCTGTCCAACGGAACTTCCTAGTCTGCTGGATCTTGCACGAATCTAAAGTTTCATGTGTAGAAAAATTAGGTGAAAAAAATCACCGTTGGTTGGTTTGTTCCCATATGCGGATATGCCTTGTAGATTAACTAATTTAAAAAGTACTAGTGCTCTGTTACCTACTTCATTAGCCTACTGCGTTGCTCTTCTATACGATATAGGCATGCTTTTGGTCTTGCTTACCAATGTCTAGTACGTACATTACGCCACTTCTTTTCAGTGGTCATTTCGGCTAATGTATCTTCACATGTTTGATTAGCCTGTATCAATAGGGATATGCAATTTTCTCTGTATAGTTAATGAACTATAAAATATTTTATGCATCAATCATTTTTTTTACCTAACATTGACTTCACAAATACAGTGATATAATGGCTCCAGGGTGTATCAATATCTTGATGCATCATGGGGTGCCTTTTCAAAGAAAGGTGAACTAACTTATGATAGAGACAATATCACACTTTTCCTAAAAATCAAGATGGACAAAATGTCCTACTACCATTTAGTACAGCTGCCCTGGAGATCAGTTTGAAATGCACGAAGAACTATCCTCAGGAAATGTGACTGAAGCAACCCACCAGTTCGAAAATACAGTTGACTCCCATTCACAACCATCATCCCATGGTAGCATCCCAGCAAGTGGAATTAAATCTGCAGCCTGCCATAAGAGGGTGTTTGTAGATGATGTCATGGTTGCATCGGAGTTCTCTAATATTTCTAAAGCATTCGATAGTATTGTGCAAGTCGAAGCAGCCAATGCAGAGGCTATGAATGCACTACAGTCTGCATTTACCCAGGAACTTGAGGCTTAAAAGCGGACTGCTGAAAGGAGGGAGAAATTGTTCAGTGTGCTTACAAAGTTTACTGAGTTTACTTCGGATCAAATCGTGAAGGCTGCTCTAATGATTGGTCAAAATGAGAAAAGGATGAATCTTTTCTTTACTACTCCAGATGAATTCAAGCCTGAGTTTGTTCAGCAAGTCCTGGAAAAATCTAAAAAGAAACTATAACTTAGAAATGCATGTGGAGATTGTGTGCTCTCTTTTGTGTAGTATATAAGTAGCACGTTGAACTCCCAGTTAGTGGAAGTGGTCAACCATGGTTGACCAAAACTATGAACTTCTTTTGGATGGTGGTCATTTGTATATTTTCATATGTATAGTCAAAAATTCCAAGTGAGTTGCAATCACTTGGAATCTAGTGGAGATTGTGCTCTCACTGCATGGTGGTAAGCTGTATATTTTGGTGCTGTGAAGTCAGAAGCACAGGTGACTTCTAATTACTTGGAGTCCTGCTGAAAGTTTGTATATTTTGTTAAGCTGTATATTTTGTTGCTAAAGTCAGAAGATGGCTTCTAGAGACTTGGCATCATACTGAAAATTTATTGGCACTGGAATATGTACACATGGAGTGTATGCATGTAGGACTTAATAAATCGATACTTCAAAAACTTGTTTTAACCTTTGTGTTTTTATTTTGTGTACATGTCATGCGATTGACCAAAAGTGCTATAACTTTGTGATGGTTTATTCTTTGTCCTAAATAGGGATATTTTGGTCATTAAAAATTTTATTTCAATTCCCTATTCGACTCATACTAAACAAGGGTATGGGTTTATAATATTATATTCCTATCCCATACTCACCCCTTCCTATTTCTACCAATTTCTCTATCCCTAAGGCTATCTTCAACAACAATATCTAAAATACAAGACACATTCGTCTCTTGGGTAGCGCTACAGGTAAAAGATTTTTAAACCCAAAAGAGAATCATTTCTGTAAATGGATTTCTAGAAGAGAGGATGCATATATTTAAATTGTGTTTCTCAGACAACGTAAAATAGATCTCCCGTATAGATACTCCGATAAAGATCGATTTTGATCTCTTTGTTACCTATTTTGGGTTCGGATGGGTTCGTGGTTGGAGACAGTTGTCTAAGCCAGGCTCCATCCAAACGCCACCTACGCGCACAGGCACCCAACCCCCGCCGCGGTCCACCCCAAGCCTAACGGGCTCCACCTCGCCGCCGGCCGCCCCTCCACCGCCGGCACCGGCCCCTACCCCGCCCGCGCTCCCCCTTCCCTACCCCTCCTCCTTCCCCCGCAGCCAGATCTAGTTGCGCCGGCCGCCGCGCCAACAACCCTAGCCGCGACGAGCTCCACCACCCTGTCACCGCCGCAGCCGCCGGCCGTCTCTCCGGCGTCGGCGGCCACCCCTCCCTTGCCCGCCTCACCCTACTACTACTACTCCCTCCCCCGCGACCCCTTTTCCTCTGTTCCATGCGGGCATCCTTCCCGCGAGCACCCTTCCGGATCTCTCTCCCACCCGCTCCTCGTCACCGCCGTCGAGCGCCGCAGCGATGGGCTCCCCCGACCTGCTCTTCAATCTGCGGAACCTCTTCTACCTGGGCGCCTACCAGGCGGCCATCAACAACAGCGACGTCCCGGGCCTCGAAGCCGACGCTGCCGCCGAGCGTGACGCCATCATCTTCCGCTTCTACATTGCCCTCGGCTCCTACCAGGTGCGAATTCATTCGGCGTCAGGCGCCTCACTGCTAGCTCGCCGCAGTTGGTTTCGGCTCTGATAGGTAGGGCACGCGCGCGTGCCTCTGTGTTTGTGCAGCTGGTGGTCAGCGAGATTGACTTGTCGGCCGTGACCTCGCTGCAGGCCGTGAAGCTGCTCGCGCTGTACCTCACCGGAGACAGGGTTAGCGCGCTGGATCTGAACTATGTCGCTTCTGATCTGTTCATGATCGTGCTCTGCCGGTCTGGATCTGGTTTGTTGGGTTGTGGGTCGTTCAGATAGTAGGGTTAGATCTGTCACTGCTAAACTAAGTAGTGTGGCCTGGGTTAGATCACGTGCATCATGTGCATTGCTAGAGGTTACGGAGTGACATGTTTGATGATCATGTGCATCATGTGCATATTACCAGTTACATTAGTAGCTACGTGAGAGAGATTTCAGTGCTCATTTTCAGTTCAGTTTTGTGCTCATTTCAGTTTTGTTTTGTGCTCATTTCAGTTCAGTTTCAGTGCTATTTTTTCTGATTATGGGCTACCTGATACTGTGATCTAGCTGATGTTGTGATCTACCTGATACCTGAATACTACCTGATACCTGAATGCTACTACTTACTGCATTGATATGTCTTAGTTTCAGTTAAATTCCAGTTACCTGATACCTGAATGATACTACCTTGATACCTGAATGCTACCTGATGTACTGTTAAGTTTCAGTTCATTTCACATGAATGCTTGTGTGCGAACATGTGAGAGTTATCTGAATGCCTGCAGTCATTCCACTGCTGTTTTTCCATGAACTGAATGCTAGTGCGTGTGAGTGTCAATAATCAGCATTTTTAGAGCAACTAAATGTGCATGTGCATTGATTAGTTACTGAACTTCATTGGGAATAAGCAACTAAATGTACTCTAACCAGGCAATATTGTGGCAAGATCAAGGCAAAATAATTCAAAACATTAGGCAATTTTTACATCATTCTTTCTCTAATCTCTCTTTGTTTTTTCTGTTCTTAGATTGCGGGTTAGTTTTGCTTCTCTGCTTTTCCCACAGATTTCCTATGAGTTAGTTCCCCTTCTCTGCTTTTCCCACAGATTTCCTGTGGTTATGTATCCGTCTGGGCAACAAACTTAGAACTAAACATATTTTGGTTAAAATTATCAGCCTATCTTCCCTGGTGAAAGTGTGTGGATCAGCTTGTTAAGATAATAAAAGTACTTGGTTGTTCTGCGGACTGCACTATATTAGTTCTAAAGAAATGTGCCAACTAGAGTTTTTCTATTTTCCATGTATTGAATGGATTTGCTTTTTGCTGACAGGTTCTTGGTACTGCAACGCGTGAGGAAATCCAATGTATGAATCGAAACTACACCGTGTTTGGATTTCCTCATCAAAGCTCACCCATGGCACAAGGTATGTGAAATTTATTTATCACATTACACTCACCGTGCATTGCATTGCATTTTGTCTGAAACTTGGGCATTCTGTTGCCTGGCCCTACAGTTCACGATCATCCTGCTGCTGAGGCACCTGGTCACTGTGGTGACAGTCGGAACGGCCAACCAGTTCGCCTTCAGCTTCCTCACAGTGAGTAGTCCTACTCCACCTGAATGGATGAATGAATGCTTCTTCGATTCGCACGAAAATCTGAATTTCTTCCTTGGCTTGGAATGGAATTTATACTTGCTACGGGCGAGCGGGATCTTGCTTCTGTATCTACGTTGTCATGAGGCTCATCTCTGTGATCCAGCAGGGACAGAAGCAGTACCACCTGCTGCTGCTCCAGGTTAGTCCATCGATTGCCACTTCTGAATAAATATCGTTGGGGGGCTGTTCTGCTGGAGGGAAGCAGTGGTCAGGAACAGCAGCAGCAGCAGCAACATGTCATCCTAGTTCGCTGAGGAACAAGGCATTCATCTAGTGAACATAAATGCATATATTTCTACAGCTTTCTGATCACGTTACTGATGGTCCTTGTTTACGATTAGGCAATAATCTTCTATGAATTCGGCAATACTATGATTCAATATAGGCAATAATATGATTTAATATAGGCAATAATCTTCTATGAATTAGGCAAAGTACTATCTCAATTAGTCAAAACCACTATCTTAATCAAGTGTCTTGCTTGTCTCAGAATTTCTGTTTATGTACTACTATGTAGAGAGTATCAAGCATGTTAACCTATAAACTATTGCAGGACTTGTTTGTGGGGTATTGCAATCCTTTGGACTTGTTGTAAACGAGTCAAGCGCAATTCAGAGTTTGGCCATGAGCTGCAGCTAGCAGGTAGTAGCTTCTTTTTTTATTGTCGCCATTTCAAGTGCCTACTTCATCAAACCATATCTAATAGGAGGATGATCATATTTGTGCATATGTCAAGTATCTGAACCTGTTAATTTAAATAACACGCAACCTGATATCTGTAGTAATGAATTTTTTAGATCACAGTCTGGGACTGTATTGATGTGTGTTAATTTGTCTCACCATGAGTAGCCATGTGACTCCTGTCTTTTTTCCTAGTTTCCTGTTAGTGGAGTTGTTTTATTAGTTTCCTAGTCATCTGGGGCTGTGGGTTGTAAATGAACACAGACACTATACTTGCTCTTTCAGAATACATAAATTGCCTCTTTAAGAAGACATTGTTGCCTAATGAATGACACTTAAATTGCCTAAGAAAATGCAATCCACTACAACATTACCATATATGCTTCATGTATAAGCATGATCGGTATTTGCAAATATTATTCACTGGGAACCCACTGTATATCGAGCATTATCTCTGTATTACATGTACAAGTTCTTGAGGAAGACACAGAGAGGAGGTTTGGATGTCACTGGGAGGAATACTGTTATGCGTAACTGGTACTGTGCTCAGCAAACCATTTTTTTGAACCTTTTGCCTTGATCTTTGGAGTGTCTCTTACTACAAGGTGACCCTTTTGCTCTTTTCAGGTTCTGAAGCAATGTTTGCTGATTTGGGGCATTTCAACCAGCTGTCAATACAATGCTGAAAAAAAAACCCAGCTGTCAGTACAGGTGAAGAAATGTTTGCTGCAAACTAACTTTTTCTGATCCATCCTGGAAGCAGTATATGGAGAATTATTCTCTGATAAAAAATTCTTGGGCAGATTGCTTTTACATGCATGGTGTATCCAGCATTGATCCTTGCGTACATGGGACAAGCTGCTTATCTGTGTAAGCATCATAACATGGAAACTGACTACTGGATTGGATTCTATGTGTCTGTGCCAGGCAAGTTATTCTCATCAGAGATGCAAACCATAGCATGATATCAGACTCAGTGCTGATTGTTAATGTTTACAACTTACCATTTCCAGAGATAATTAGGTGGACCATTATGCAACTGTTAGGCAATTTAAGTCATTTTGTTAGGCAACAATGTGCTACTAAATAGGCAATTTATCCTTTTTGTTGCAAATCTGGAGGTATTTCATTAAGATCTATATTTGACACCTATTTTGCATGCAAAGCAATAAGTATAAATGTGTGCTGCTATATCATGACATGTAGGCAACTTAGTCAAACTCATTAGGCAATAATACTGTACTGAATTAGGCAAAAAAAACCACAAGTTTATGCAATTTTTCATTCTGTAATATGCTATTTGTGTGCCTCATGTTTCAATACATTTACATACACCAAGTTTCAATGCTTATATGATATATGACATCTGATTGCTGCAACCTTGAATCTTTTAACATTTTAAATTGCAGGTGTGATGGTCTCAAGCATCAACATGGGATCAAATGAACAAAGAGAACCATGTGCAGCAGCAAGTGGGGTGTATATGGTGCGTCAGTATATATGTTAGCAACACAAGGAGGTTTTTAGTGTAGCAAAATGTATTTCTATCTGAGTTGCTCATAATATCTATTTTTTTCGTCTATAAATCTGTTTTGGCCGCTGATTGTAGAGCTGTTTTGGCAGCCATGGTGCAGTACCTTGCTCTCATCACATAAACAGCTTCAGCTGCCGATGGGCTGATATGTGTTAGGCAATTTAAGATGCCTGAGATGCTATAGAAAAGATCTCAAGATGCCCGAATGACATGTGTCATGAACAATTTATATTTAATTTCGTCTAGCTTGGGTGAACGTATCAATATTTCGGATGTGGGCTAAATAATGCCTGGCAAATCTAGAGCAGCAAGCTTTGTTTGGGTGATGCGGAAAGTGATATTTGTGAGAAAAAATCTAGAAGTACATGTCTGGATGTTGTTTATTGGCCTTGCTTGCTTGTCTTACTTGTCTTATAATCCGTAATTTTTAGTTTGTTTTTTCAGCTAAAACAGTATTTTTTTCCCACAACAGATCAGTTGAAACAGTGTTTTAGCTTTCCAGTGAAGCGATCGGGCCATTAGCATCTTGCCAAAAAGGAACAGAATGATTGCTCTTTTTACTAAAAAGGGAAAGGCCGTGCGATAAGCCAAAATATGGCCGGCCGTAATTTAGCCGCTTCCCTATCCATTCACCAATGACACAAATAATTCTGTGAAAATTTCACTCCCCGCCATAAGCCAAGCCATTCCGTGAGAGAGAAATTGGCAACCATAAAGTCCGCAAGGAGAGTATAGTGTTTTCTTTTTACCCATCTAACCTTCCGCCACCAAGCCTCCGATGATTACTCCTTGGTCAAAGCAACCGCCAGGGCCGTGCGCCCGGGCTTCGGCATCCTCACGGCCGGACGCCTCTGCGGCTCATCTCCATGCCGCTGCGACTCGCCTGCCCCAAATTTCCGATCCATGCCGCTGCACATCCTGGCCCTGAATCCCCTGATCCACACTGTCGTTATCGCCGCTGCACCCATCTCCTCGCCGCTTTCCTCACACCTATGTGAAGATGCGACGCCTCAACTCTACATCGACACCCCGGCCTTCGATCCGTCAAGATGCATTGCATCCATGAGCGACGGATCCAAGAGCCGCCGTGATCGTTCAATCCCGTTCGCGATCTCGTTGTCTGTGGTCCACGAGTCTGCAGCAACGCCGAACGCACTCTCCCGCTCGTCCGGCCATCTGCATGTCAATCGACCACACCGTCTGTCGTTCCGCATCCGCACATTGGCATGCTGTGTCGCCGATGGGTCAGTCTGTTCGATGCCGACTATGGCTGTGGCTGTGGCAAGAGGTTTGCGCTTTAATTTGTAGCTAGAAATAATCATCTTGTTATTTCTCTTGCATCGTACATTTTTTTTTGTCTCTTGCAATCATTTTCATCTGTGATCTACTGATCTCTCATCTCTAAAATCAGGCCAGATTTCGTAATGCGGATGTGGATGCGGTCGTCATGCGTCGTGCGAACAGGGCTGCAGAGATTAGCAACACTGTACCAGGGATTCGCCCAGGCCGTACAGAGAACATATCACAGTTAGTTTTGTTTGTTTAATCGCATGTTTATCAAATTGTTTATTAGATTATCTAATCCAAGGGAGCAGTTGATCACCTCTAGTATAGGATTCATACGTTCAGTTCCCCACTAAATATTCTCTGCATAAAAAAAATCTGATATATTGTAGCATGTTACAAAAGAGAAACTAGGAAAGTAGAATTTTCTGCAGCCATGTTTATAGTCCAATGTTTCAATTATACTTAGGAAACTTACATAATCTCATACCAAGGTAATAAGCTGTATCTTCTTGTTATGAGGAACTCGGTATCTTAATATTGACAGTGATTACATTAATCTCCACCAATTGCACTGTAAACCAAAGCCTGTTAGTTCTCATACAATTGAATGCACCATGACTTGTCCATACGTATGAACTGGAGCAACTATGAACACTTGTGGCTTGTATGCTTGTTGGTATAAAAAATTCTGCTTACTTGTACCTATGTTCATTTGCAAATTGCATCGGTTGTGTGCTGATGTTATAATTAAAACATAGGCACACATTGTGAGAGGTCTATTTCTCTTGTAGTGTGTGGGGAGAACATGCTAGTTTATTTAAAAGTGAGATCACAGTTCTTGTAAGAACTATACCACTCCAAGTGAGTGGAGGGGCATGGATAAGTTTCATGCTGGTACTAAGGCATCTGTTTGGAGAAAACTAAAGGTGACCTACTTTTCTTATGAAATAAATATATTTGGCATGCATAGGTTATCACTGCATTCAATGGCTGCTTATTACATCATATCTTTGTTGTACAGCAAAAGTCTCATGAGCTTTCAGAGAAGAAGATAAAGATTGTGGCATAAAACAACTAGAGAGTCATTATAATAATCGACGTTACTGTCTGCTTCAAGCTTTCCGAAACAACAAGCCAAGGCCACAACATGTATCACCAAATGGCTGATTTCTTTGCACGCATTCATTCTGGTGCTTCGCAGTGTCCACCATGAGTTTAATACTTATAGTTGATTAAATTATTTGAGATTTGAAAGCAGTGACAGTGTGAGTTATTTTGAGAGTTCCAAGTGTTATTATTTTTTGTGTATTGCTTGATTGCAACATTATCATGGTTAAAGAATTATTGAAATAAATATTACTAGTCTATATTTGCGAGAATTGTATTGCTACAATGTATATTTGTTAAGCCATTTTTGTCACTACAACATCTGTGATAATGATAAATCGTTTGCCACAATATCTATTGTTCCACACAACTGAGACTTTACCTTGTGACAACATGTCATAACTAATGTTTTCACACAAATGCTATGTTTTTTGGTGATGAAATTATCGACACAACATGTCTTATCAATTATCACAAAAAAATCATATTGTGAGGAAAAGTTTTGCCTCTATAATATATATGTGAGGATGAGTTACATCACAAATAAAATGTATTTGTGTTGATAAGGTGCCAATTTTCCCATATAAATTGTGGCGATCAGCTTGACACAATTGTAACAAAAACGGTGAGAACAAATATCGACACAATAAATATGTATAATGGCGAAACTTTTTGTCACTGATATGTAGTCGCTAGTGACCATATAATTCGTCATTTTTATAATGGTAACTGTGACGAACAAATTGCCATAAATACTCTATAGTCGTGTCGACTTCATCACGAAAAACACTATAAGTGGCAATTTTTTTGCCACTAATACATATGTTTTTGTGACAACAAATGGAGCCACAAATGGCCAATTTACTAGTGGCACCACAATTCGTCACTAATGAGTACAACCATTTGTGGGGAACAAAAAATCATCACTAGAGTATTTGTGAGGCAGGTATTTGTGGCGACTAGTGCGATTTAAAAAGTCACCACAAGGGTTAGTTTGTGGCGAAAAAACATGCTTTTGTGATGATGTGGTAGAAGCCGAGTGATTGCTGTCACTTGTGAGAATTAGGTGGCTACTCTGACACAGTTGACTATATTTTCTATCCTGGAAAAGAACCATGTGTTAATGAATAACCAGACACTGGGCGGGATCCGGTATGATTTGGTTGTTCTAGGCGTGGCTTGCTTTCATTTTTATCCCACCTATGTCGGTTAAGGACCGTACTATTGTCTAGACCATTGGTTGAGATTGAAAGTTCCTTTCACATAACGGCGGCATAACTCGTTCTGACTGTGAAGCCAAGTAACTTGATTTGGGCTAGAAATTTGGGACGTTGGTTAGGCACACCGGAGGGGAGAAAGTATGTGTGGGGAACAGGGATTGACCATGGGCAGGCATGGCCTGAGCGACCTGGTTTTCGGCTGCCCCCTGAGTGTGTAGCTCGGCTCAAACCCATGAACTATTCCCAAATAGGGCGAAAGGTTACCCAATGTTGACCTTTGGCTAGGTCCGCATGGGCGTGTGATGTGGATTCTGCCCAGCTGGAGGCAATTGATTCGAATCGTCGTCTCTCCCGAATAGTGAGAAACTTGTCACTGTCGAGCATCGTAGTAACTTATGGAACATGATGATTATGTTATTTATGCAAATTGGATATGTTTACTATTATGATGCTTATTTATTTTAATCAAGTTATTGTACAGGATAGATGCAAACTTAGCTATAAATAGCTCTATTTAATTTGATGCTAAAACTTGAAAGTGAAGGACTCATGTTAGTAAAGCTTTCTATGCAAAACTTGTTGTCAAGCTAGCTCCGCCATGAAAAGCCTTGCATACTCTTTGGTGTCAAATTATTTTTGGTTTATGACGGGTAAGTCTACCTGAGTACATTCTCATACTTAGGGTTTATTCCCACTTGTTGTAGGGCATTGCTTATCATGGGTACTGTAAGAATTGCTTCGCTCCAGCCGTGGATGAGGAGTAAGGCTTGTACTTGAACTATGTGGTGTATGGGTTTACTGAATTGGAACCTGGTGTTGTAATAAATTTTATTTGAACTCCAATGTATGTTGAACTACTTGTGAACTTTATGTAATATGTGATATGTGTATGCTTAATCATGTAAGGTCTTGGCTTGTACGTGGCTTATTCAACATCATTCATGATACTCGACGGACTATCGGATTTATATGTGCTCAAGTACAAGAGAGCGACTTTCTCGGTGTTGATGGCCACAAAATGCTTATTTTATCCATCAACAGTGCAAAGAATCAGAGGAAAATCAACATAAAAATGGAAAATTTGGTTTTGAGCTAATGAAGTTCCACTTGTACTTACGAATTATTTGAATGTAGGTGAAATACTGAAAACATGAAAAAGAGAAACACCCGGAGCTCACCAAGCATGACAGGGGCCTAGGGGCTGACTAGTGGGGTCTGTCGGCCCCACCAACCATCACCCAACGGCCCCTGCAATAGCAACGTCACCTATCCACATGACAAGCCAAGAAACACAAAATGGTGCAACACCACACATTGATATCAAGTCGGTTTGATCCAAGGGCCACCATGGAGCTTCACTTGGATTCCTAGGTCCACACATGAGAGAAGCAGCATGCAACCGCCAAACTGCCAACTTGGGACAGCTCACAACCACCATGGAGGAGCCACCAGAGCCACAGGATGTTGAGGCAGTGCATCCAAGCGGGCGTCGGCCTGACCCCACTTGGCAGCTCCACCGACTCTCCTTCGCCTACAAATGTCCCCTCTCTCTAGTACTATAAATAGAGGTGTTTAGCTCAGTTGTAAGTGAACAAGTGAAGAATCAAGTTCAAGAGAGAAGTAGTAGCCACTATTAGTCTCTCCTTTGGTTAAGCTAGTAGTGAGAGTGAGAGTGAGAGTGAGTCAAGCTCGGAGCTTAGGAGAAGTCTTCGGAGTCTCTGGTATAAGCTCTTGTATCTTCTTTTGTAAGACTTGTGCATTTTCAATATATTATTATTTCCTTTAAGTACTTCTCTCATTCCTAGTTGCTTATTAAGCTAGTCTTGAGGTTAGTTGTACTTTGGTTATTGTAAGTATATCATGTTTAGTTAGTAAGTTTCCAATAGTGCGGGATGCTCATCACTAGCAGATGCTTTAATCTTTGCCCAAGGTTAAAGTAGTATCAAATAGTGTAAGCGTGCTGCTTAGACTATAGGGTACCTTGGATTGTGGCTAGTTCTCCGGATAGTTAGTGGTAGGTGGCAAGTGGTGATAGTCATGTCCATCCTCTGTATTCCACTACGATAGAACTAGTTCTTAAATCATAGGGTTCATTGTGTTGTTGTGCCTAATCAACCTTCGGGTGAGTTTAGGGTACGAAGTGCTTTTGGGACTTGCTTAACTAATCTTGATAGACTTGTTACACCTCTCTTTAACTAAGGTTGTGCTTGAGAATTACTTAAGAGTCTTACACTCACTCCGTGATCTCCCACTAGCTATGCCATTCATCTTTGACCTTTACCCAATCACAACTCTATATCACAATTCTTCCTTCCCCCCCGTTATAAGAGGTGATTGTTTATAGTTCAATCACAGAAACTATATTATCAAATATCTTTGCCATATGCTTTCCATGAGGATATAAATACAGTACTCGGAATACTCCAGGGTAAAGTGCTGCATCAATATTTCTATGTGCTTGTGGAATCAATCCAATAGTCATAAGAAATATCAACACTCAACAGCTGCCATTGTACTTGTGCTCTTAAAAATTAGACGATTCTACGACACAAATCAGCCCATTTTTTTTCTCAAATCAACCAAGCCATTTTTCGCAAATCAACCTAGGCCCAGCTATACACAGTCCATCCCACATCATATTCAGCCCATATAATTTTTCAGCCCACATTACATTCAACTTATATAATTTTTTCAGCCCACACACATTATGTAAAAAACTCAAATAGCAGACAGCGCCACCTAGTGAGGCCAGACCAACACGCGTCTATGATGTCAATTCACATGTGTGTTCCGAACACGCGCCTGTAATATTTCGCCGACCAAGGGCAAAGGGTCAGCGGGGGTCAACATGCGTCTGTGATAACTCAAGTTACTATAGACGCGTGTTCCAAAGCCGCATATAAGCAACGCATCTGCAT